CCATACACAATTGAAAATTAATTGATTTGAATGCATTTTCTTTGTTGGCAAAACGCTTGTAGCAAGGGTGTGCTTTGATTGTTTAATTTTAAACTGCTGATCACTCGTCAATAACGCACCCTGCTAAAATTAATGCGTCGTAAATCAAGAAAACGACAATTCAAGATTAACCAACTAGAATGCATTTTCTTTGTTGCAAAATGCTTGCAGCAAAGATGCGCTCCGATTGATTAATGATGAACCGTTGATTACTCGACAATGACGCACCCGTTTAAAATTGATACATCATAGATCGAAAAAGACATACACAATTGAAAATTAACTAATTAGAATGCATTTTCTTGGTTGCAAAATGTTTGTAGCAAAGGTGCGCTCCGAATGTTTAATTTTAAACTGTTGATCACTCGTCAATAACGCACCCAGCTAAAATTAATGCGTCGTAAATCAATAAAACGACAATTCAAGATTAACCAATTAGAATGCATTTTCTTTGTTGCAAAATGCTTGCAGCAAAGGTGCGCTCCGATTGATTAATAATGAGCCGTTGATTACTCGACAATGACGCACCCGATTAAAATTGATGCATCAAAAAATAAAAAAGGACGTACACAATTAAAAGTAACTGATTAAAATGCATTTTCTTGGTTGCAAAATGCTTGCAGCAAAGGTGCGCTCCGAATGTTTAATTTTAAACCGTTGATTACTCGTCAATAACGCAGCCTGCTAAGATTGATGCGTCGTAAATTAAGAAAACGACAATTAAAGATTGACTAATTAGATTGCATTTTCTTTGTTGCAAAATGCTTGCAGCAAAGGTGCGCTCCGATTCATATTAATCATTAGATGAACCGTTGATTACTCGACAATGACGCACCCGATTAAAATTGATGCATCATAGATCGAAAAAGACATACACAATTGAAAATTAACTGATTTGAATGTATTTTCTTGGTTGCAAAACGCTTGCAGCAAAGGTGCGCTCCGAATGTTTAATTTTAAACTGTTGATTACTCGTCAATAACGCACCCTGCTAAGATTGATGCGTCGTAAATTAAGAAAACGACAATTAAAGATTGACTAATTAGATTGAATTTTCTTTGTTGCAAAATGCTTGCAGCAAAAGTGCGCTCTGATTGGTTAATGTGAATCGTTGATTACTCGACTATGACAAACCCAATTAAAATTAATGCATGATAGATCGAAGAAGCCACACATACTTGAAAATTAATTGATTGGAATGCATTTTCTCGGTTACAAAATTTTTGTAGCAAAGGTGCGCTCTAATTGATTAATTTTTTTTAATGACGCACCTAATTAAAATTGATGCGAAGTAGATTGAGAAAAAGGCAACTTAATATTAATTAGAACACATTTTATTGATTAACCCATTGACCCATTATAAATCGGAAATGCAACAATTGAAGATTAACGAATCAAAACGCACTTTCTTTGTTGCAAAAGATTAGCAGCAATAAACGCACGCTATGATTGGTTAATTTTCGACTGATGCTCAGGTGACCTATCATGTATTAACATTCATCAAACAAGAATTGAAAAGAATCAATAATTGAAAATTAAACAATCGGCGACACTCTCATTGTTAGAAAAGTTTGTAACAAACAGATCGCGTCCCCACTGGTTAGTTTGCTACTGTTATTACTCGATAATAAAATAAAACTATTTCATTATTTTTTAAAGCGTTTTACGAATGTTTAATCAAATTTTCTAAAAGCCGATTCAGCAAATTCATCTTATAACTGAAAACTTTCTATTAAATTTTCACCTCGTACATAGTATCCAATTTATTCTTCCCTATGACCAGAAAATCTATTAAAGACACTTTACTATAATAAGATTTTCCCAAGACGGTTTTTAAGATCACAGAAGAAGTTTTATTCTCGAAATTTATTTAATATCATTAGCCAAAAATCAGTAAAATAAAAAATATTGGAAGCTGCACAGTTAATAGGAACAAACTCGAGTGAAACCCGGTAATAATGAATTATTATCATTTTATAATCAATAAAGTCCGTTAAAACTTAGTTCTACTCAACAACAAAAATACTTTGGTTTATTTCACGTCTAAATTAGCACTGAAGGGGAAGGCTTTTTTTATATTCCTGTTACAATAATGCTTTTATAATTATTATTGTTGATGCGTTGCTAGGAAAGCTAAACATAGGAATAATAAAGAAGATAATATACTTCTTGCTTGTCCACTATTTAAGGAACTTGCATCTGAAAATAAAAGACGAATTGATTTATGTCCTGAAATCAAAATTATCAACACCGATCTAAGATATATAATATATTTTAATTTTGCCATTAAAAAAATTATTTTCAAAACTGAAGAAGTAAACCGTTTCGACAAAAGATAAAAGTATTAACTGCCACTTACCTTGCCTGATATTTTCTTTTGCGTTTTCATTATCTAAAGATTTGGTTTCTGGTCCTGAAAAAAATGAAATGAAAATTACGTGAATTAAAAAAAAATTAAAAGCCCGCAGGTGTATTTGAAAGTTGGGGACTAGCAAGTACAACATTTTCCCAAAGTTTAAACCATTTTCATGACATTATTACCGCATTATTATATAAAGTGTAACTCATACTTAAATATGCTTAAGGCATAAAAAAAATGGGAGATACGCACGTGCTAAGGGCAATTAAAATTGATTGATAGGATCATGCAAACTAAAGATACTAGCAATAACTAAATCCGAAGCGAATGAGTCTAACAATGATCATCACTAATAAAGAATAGAAAACGAAACGGTCCGCTGCGCGGTGAACAACTGCGCATCCGAATTTCCTTACGATCTTCTTGCCAACAAGCATATCGAACGCGCAGTGGCCTGGTGCGCAGCGGACCATCGAGAACAACTTGATGACGTACTTATGACTCGTCCCATACATTAAGCGCTCCAGTAGTTACTGGTAAAGTTTTAGCGATATTTGCAACTTAAAAAGCTATTTTAACCTGTTAACACATGTTCATTGCCCTCTAGATAATGGTCCATTGATTGTAGGTGTTACGCTAAATACAAAAGCCAAGTCATTCTACGTTTTAGGGAGTTTTTCGTCAAATAGAAGTTTGCTATATGGAGTTTATACAAATGAGGGCTCCAAAATTTTAAAGAAAATAATAAACTACTAGTGATCCCTTAAAAATTTTTTCTCATTTATTTTCTAACAAATTCCCCAAAATAGGCAGGCACGATTCTAAATGTTTTTGCTTATTATGTAACTGTCAAAATATCAAAATTCGTTAATTATGAACTAATGTTTATTGCTAATTAAATATACTATCAATAGTTCGACAGATATGTACCAAAGGATCTTAAGCAAACAAAAAAAAGGTAGTTATAGTTAAAAAATAATAAATAAAAAGTTGAAAGTACCTGAGTGATTTAAATCATAAGTGGTTGAAGGATGCGAGTGATGCATATCATGATGCATATTATGTGTGCGTTGTGCAACAACTGTCAAAAATAATTATTGTAAATTATAGCTGGTAGTCAAAGATAAAAGCACAAATATTTTTTTTTGTTGCAAATGTAGATGAAAATTATAGGTCCAATAAAATATTCCACTTCATTATCATAATTAACTTCTTACTGATTATTTAATGCATAACAACAATCCTGACGCATACAAGCATGGATTAATAAATGATTACAGACTATCATAACGGGCCTTCCTTTCTGCAAAGAAATGCACAAGCGAATCGCAATAAGCTGCTACGTTTGCAGCAAAGGAAGATCATTTTGATTGGTCCAATTTTAATTCTTATTTTTTATGCAATTGCATATCGGATTGGAAAACTGCAAAAGCGGACTTTACGTATTAATAAACATTTTGATATAATTTTCATCTAAAAATATCGGAAAGCAAACAAAAAAAATGTGCAAAATAGTTTGACTTACCCCCATTGAAGTTTTTGGTTTCGGACCACTGTGACCAACCGTACGTATTGCGCGAGCGCACTTTGGCTTCATATTGTCCTTGACCTAAGTTCGGCAATTCCTGCTTAATAGTATATATGTTACCTTCTGGATTGGAAACTTCGGGCTTGACAACATTCCACTTTTCGTCCTAAATAAAACAAAAACACTAGCAATTAAGACAAAAGAAATATTAAGTGTGAATAATTAACAAATCAAAACGAAACCACTGATACCTCAAGATTCCATGAATTAAATTAATAATATACAACTCATTTTGACACACTTGACACCCAAACTGTTAGTTTTAAACTAAATTAAGCTAGAATAGTAAACCTTGTAACCTATTATATGTATATATAATACATCTCCTTATCGCCATGAATTGATTAATCAGGATGTCCAGAAAGGGTAGGGAGTGTTTATAAATTAAATAAAAAGAAAGTACAAGTCAGAAGAGAAAAATCTTTTTTGCTAATATTTAGTCAAAGTTTTAGAAAATTATGTACTGAAGACGATCTTGTCCGAATGTTCACCCTCGCGCTGCTGGTGCTCCTCCAACCAAAAACGGAAATTAGCCGCCATGCGTCTACACATCTCTGTGGAAACGGCGGCCATGTCGATGCCAATATTGTGCTTCAATTGCAGTAGAGAACGTGGTTTGTTTGCATACAGCTTCAGTCGATAGTGCTTCGACGAGACATCACTTTTTCCGGGAAAAGTTGATTGACAATCGCAGGCGATTAGTTTGGGGTGTGGCAACTGGTCTTATCTTGTTAAAACCATGTTTCCACCAGCAAACTCTTGCAGATGTGGAACCAAAAACTTTCTTAATATGTTACAACACCTGTCACTGTTTACCGTAAGTCGCCGGTCTTCAAAAAATAAGGTCCAATGATGTCTTCACCAGACATGATAGCCCACGCAATTACTTTTGGACTATGTTGTGGTTGTTCATATTTATGTCTTGGATTTCTTTGGTCTAACAGCGACAGATCTGTATGTTTACGTGACCATTTAAGTGAAAGTTCGCTTCGTTTCTAAACAGAATGTTATTGTTGCAATATTATGTAACAGTTCAACAATAATTATTATTGAAGGAGTCGGTCTTCATGCGGCGGTTTCATCCTGTTAGTTCTAACAAAATTGTTTAGTCTACGGCGAATCTGGGAAACTGTATAGGTACCTATCGCACAATGGTTTCAGTGTTGATACATATGTTATATATATGTATGTATTAATTAGGTACTTTATTCATTAGAATAAGCTAGTCTGGAGGCTGACGTGAGACGACTAACACATTATACCNTCCATTTCGTAGATGAGTCCCCTCTTCCATAGCCAAACCCAATAGTTTTGCGAACGTAGTAACGAAAATTTTCGTAGGAATTATTTAAGTTGCGAGAGTGGCTTCGCTCGTCTACGGAATGAAGGGGCTTGATATGGGAGTGGAAGGGAGAAGAAAGACAAAACAAAATTATTCATTACTGCCTACTCTCTCGTACTTATAGAAGGGTATGGAGTGACTCAAACTAACCTCATGTAGCGGATTCCGCGAAGTTAAAGTTTGCCCGGCTCTGATTTAAGTGAAAGTTCGCTTCGTTTCTAAACAGAATGTTATTGTTGCAATATTATGTAACAGTTCAACAATAATTATTATTGAAGGAGTCGGTCTTCATGCGGCGGTTTCATCCTGTTATTTCTTACAAAATTGTTTAGTCTACGGCGAATCTGGGAAACTGTATAGGCACCTATCGCACAATGGTTTCAGTGTTGATACATATGTTATATATATGTATGTATTAATTAGGTACTTTATTCATTATAATAAGCTAGTCTGGAGGCTGACGTGAGACGACTAACACATTATACCTTTATTATATGTTACAATAAACTACATCATTCGGTTACTTTGTTATTTTTCACATCTACATCCAACAGTTATCAAACGTTGGAAGTCTTCATTTAATTTGCAAAATTCTGTCGAAGGGGATAGTCGGTAACGCTCAAATAACTGAATTTTGTAGACTGTAAGACGTAAATCTTGCTTCAGAATATTCTGTAACAACGATATTTTTATGTCAATTTCTTGACTGCGTTTGGGAACTGATTGTGGCGGATTTTCTCACTTCTTCAACCGTTTGTTGGGTTCGAACAGAGCGCAGGCAATCAGGATTATGAATTTATCGTCTTTCGGTACATTTCGTAGATTAAATTTTGCCAGACATAATCGTTGAGCTAAGATCATCAAAACACCATTGCGATAATAGGCGCGTACGCAAAAAGCACGATGGTCTCCCTAGTACACTTCCATGGTTATTAAATCTCCAAAAGACAGCGCAGATACAAATACCCCCTACTCTTTCTGGACACCTTGTACTTCAATGAATGTCAAGATAAAGAAAAAACCTTTGCTTCCGAGATTTTCCGCCGATCTGCACTTTGGGTCAAAGCCTGAAGATAGGGCTGAAGACTACCTTCCGCCCCTTGAAAAATCATGGAAGAAGGTAGGTTATAGTGAATAAAAAAATAAAGACGACACGGATAAAATGAACATGACAGAAGAGCATAAAGCTATCTATTTGTGGAATTTTGCCTACAACGATCCCATGAAGTCATAGGAAAACTTGGCTTAAAGCAGATCGATCCGGAATCAAGTCAATGTCCTCCTGATAGAAGCATTTGATCAGTTGGATGGGTAGGTACTGTTTGGGAGGACGTGGTTTGCTTCTAAACCATATGCGAAAGTCCGGATCTTGCCATTAATATGTCGTTCGTATTGACAACGATAAGGACGGTGGGCGCACACCAGTTGGGGTTGTAAGTTGTACAAAGACAAACATATACACGTATGTACACATATGAATACCCATTTCTAGAAAGAGACATCCTCGTAGTGTATACTTCGGAGATTTCCTTTACCAGACGGAATGTACATTGACTAAATCAGTCGAAAGTAGCAAATAGAATAATCTCGAATGTTCGAGTCTTGTGTGTCCGAATAAGTGTGCGATTCTTTCACATAATAGTCCGCTATTAGAATGTAAGTAGTAAGTAACGACCAAAACTTAAATAGATATGAAATCTTGAAGTATTGCACTGAATAACAATTAGAAACAATTTATTTAAATGACAAATTAGATAAAAACTTACCCCAACTTTTCTGTATTGTAGAACGTGTTCTGTAATAGGTGAATTGGATTCAATTGTCCACGACAAAACGGGAACTTTCTTTTCCCGATCTTCGTAACCCTTAAAGTACCTGGCGGGACTTGGTGTTCCTGTTAATTGGACGTTCTTTTCACTTTTTCCCACCCTGTTCACCGCTGAGCAAGTGTATTCACCAAAATCAGACTTTTGCGTTTTAGATATTTTTAGTATGTACGAATGGCCATCCTTTCTGATAGTGATACGATCGTCAGGTTTGATATTAACATCATTCTTTTTCCAATTAACCATAGCGTCGGGAACAGCATGAACTGTGCATATCAATTCCGAGTCGTAGTTTTCAGCTGAATTTACAGTTATTTTTTCAATCTTTACAACCGGTTTGTCTGAAAGAAAACATTTATTTAATTCTTTTTCCTGTAATATGGATCGGCTTGCAAGTTTCGATGATTTTGGAAGCCGGACGTAGGTCCAACCATAATGGGGATGTTCTTAAAGAGAAACCAGACTAAGACAAGTCCCTGATAGAGAGCAGCAGCTCAAGGTGGCAGAGATCACAGAGGATCGGTATGGCAAGATTCCAATGTCCGGGCTGGAACTGCCTCGGGGGAAGTCATTAATAAGTGCAATAGGGGAAGGCGCAATATTTCACGAGTCGGGTTAGAACAATGAGGCAATTAGGGAAATTAGAGAATTTGAAAGTTGAGAAATACTGGTATGCAAGGGAAGAAAAGATAGGGAACAGCGAGTATAAGAGACAAAAGATTAGGAGAAGTGGCTGATTTTAGGTATCTGGAAAGTCAGATCTGTCAGGGATATAAAGGAAAGGATAGCACAGGGTCGAGTCGCCTTCAATAAAAAGAAGTCACTTCTATGCTCGCGAACGATTAATTTAGAAATTCAAAAAAGATTGTTAAAGGTGATATTTGGAGAGCGGCGCTGTACGAGTGTGAAACATGGACGGTGACGGCGCCGAAAAAGATAATGTTACAAGCGTTCGAAATGTGGTGTCACAGGCAAATGATGAGAATATCGTGCATAGAGAAGGTTAGAAACGAAGAGGTACTAGAAAGAATAAGAGAAAAAGGACTCAATGAAAGTCAATAAGAAACAGCCGGGATAGGTTGGTAGGACACCTTCGCAGGCATGAAGGTCTAGTCAGAAACATATTAAAGACAAAAAGGGGAGTTGAAAGGGGTAGAGGTAGACCTAGATTAGATTACTTTTCGCAAATAGATAAGAATGTGGGATGCTGTAATTTTAGGGAAGTTCTAAGATTAGCTCAGAATAGGAAGGAGTAGAGGTGCGTGTCCCACCAGTCTTAGAACTGACGACTTTATGACAGGTAGTGCGTATACGATTTGACGCACACGCAAAACCTTACTGGCGCAGTGGCTCATTGCTCAGCGACTTGAATTTTCTGTCTTTCTCTACGCGTGACGCTTTTCAGAACCATTCGCTGTACCTTGTTGTTGCTCTTTTTTAATCTTCTTGGCGAAAAAAAAAGTTCGTGGGTTCTAAACCGAGTTGATTCGTTTAGTCAACTGACATTTTGGTAACGCTTCCTTACTTAGTTTCAAATTTTCTGAATAATTCACGAATCGATGAAATTTAGAATCCAGGAACTTTCTGAAGTGAAACTTTCTTACGCACGGTAGGGTAAGTTCGTTTCATGCGAGTTGCTATATAACGAAATCATGCAACGGATGTCCCCCCCTCTACTCGGCCACGTAGTCGAGTTCGTAGTGGGGATCGCTTAAGCCGTGAGCGGAGCGCGCTTCAGTGTAACGTTTGTTACAGGCAACTCCGGTATGTATAGTGTAAAATTTAAATTCATAGTGTACAAATAATACCATTAAACCAATTCCTTAACCCCTATCCCGGTATGTTTGTGTGTTTGAAGAAGTTTCACTTCAGTAGCGTGTTGTATAATTACACGTTGTATTTTTTT